AAAAAAAAAAAAGCCAAGAAAAAAAATCACAAAAAAGCAGATGTCCATCACATAAGTCACCAATGACTGATCTAAAGGACTTTGGGGAAACAGAAACCTTTCACCATAGCTTCAGAAAATTTGAACTCAAAAGCTTAGAATGAGCTCAGCCCCATGAATTGCACAGAAAGGTACCTGGGACATGCCACAGCTTCAGCCTCTTCACAGTCCTGCCTGTGGCTCTCCTGGGGCTGACCTGAGAAATGCATTGTGTTAGCTCAAGGAACTGTTCTCATTTTTCAARTATTAGAAAACTCACAGCACTGGAGAATTTAGAAATCAAAGCTTAACTCCTTTGAGTAATAAAGAAATCCCTAAGTTACTCTAGATTATATAGTAAGAGAACATAGGTTGTTTTACTGTCATATTTTAGGTTGAATTATGGTCTTTATGTCCCATCCAAACAGACACAAATTAATATCTGCTACTGTAGAGCTCAAAGTAGGTCTCCACCACCAATATCAGGAGGACCTTTCCTAAGCTGGAAGCTGTGACAGCAAAATGTGCCATTTGCATTCTTCTGGATTTGCAGTCTTGGTGAGGTAAACAAGCATGAGGAGTCCTCCATCCTGATGACATTGCRTAGCTGTTCTTCCGTTACTGTTCATGTAGAAGTGGAGGAAAAACTCACCTTTCTTAGTTAAAAAAATTCTCTCAGCTGAAAGCAGCAATTATTATTTCCCAATATAACCACAATCCTGGGCTTCTCTGCTGTTTCTGTCCTTTGCTGCACAGTATGGCTTTGGATAAGACACAAAAGATTTGTCTGTACATACCTTCTCAATTCACAGTGTAGTGAGCCCTTGATGCCAAACACAACATCAAGGATGCCAGTCTTAGGGAAAGGCACTTGAAAGTTAAGTACTGAGAGAACTAACTTTTAAGACATGCAAATCCTTCAGTGAAACTAGCCATAAACCTCTCTAGACAAACTTTTCCTAGTTGGCTGATGAACTGGAGAGTACCTYATTTTTCATGACTACTCTGAGACATCCTAGCCTATTAGGGCCTGTCTATTGACCATACTTTCAGCACAGATAGCAACTGCCCTTCCTTCCAGTCATTGAAAAAGAGGAGCATTCCCAGAATCAACCTATTCCTGTCTGTGGATATACACATTAACGTCTATTGTCTATAAAATCAGTTCAGTGGTGGTATGCTATTTCATTTTTGTCATGTGAAGTTAATTTTTTTTTTACAAACTGTATTTTGATACCAGAATAAACTTGTGTTGTTTTTAATTATTGGTGCTCAGAGGGTGTCAGAAAATTACATGGGACAGGAATTATGAATCACACTTCCACTTTTGAAAATGCAAAACAMGATAAAATTTGACCAAGCAGCAGAGTATTGATCAAGCAGTCATTACTACTGCTTGATTGTCTGGTTTATGTAGTGATCTGTGGTACAGCACAATTAGAAAGTACAAAGTCCTGGTCACCTTGTACTTCAAATTCCTTCTGGTGTGTAGGAAGTTTGATAAAATAAAGCASGAAAGAGCACCTAAAATGTTGGTTTCTGGCTATCAGAGGATTTCAGAGTTGAATTTTAAGGTCTAGGTTTTTCAAAACAATTAATTGTTCTTCTGTTCAGAAGGCATACGCAATGTAGGTGGATGAATCCCATTCCCAAATGATGCAGGTGCCATCAAAGGTGTTTCAGATGTTACACCAAAATAAAGAGGGAGTTAGAACCTTAATATTTCAGTATGGGCTTTAAGACATAGGTCTTAAATATGCAATAAAAAATTTAGTTTGGTAACTCTAGTTTAAGCCTTTATCTCCCCACTGGTGTCYGGAGGAAAGAGAAATCTCACTTGCTAGCCTAAACACTCTCTTTTTGGGCTGGGCCTTAGTATGGCAATTCAGTGTTAATCAATGTAAGTGATGCTCAGGTACCGAATCTGCCAAAATCACTAGGGCAAATTAGCCTGACCTTTYAAGTCACATAGGATTTGCCACACACAGAAGTGACATCCAAAGCCATTGGACAACCTGGGCTAAAAAGTAAGTACAGTGAGTGGCTCATGCAAATGCAGTTGTTGCTAGCCMAAGGCTACAGGACGATTTTATGACTTGAGGCATGGGACAAAAGGATTTCTGTACATCTTTGGGACTCCCTGCCAACATGCATGTACAGAAGACCGAAGTAAACACAGTAAAATTGGTATGTGTGCCTGAAGACTTAGTTCACATTCTGTACCTGTGACAGAAATGCAGGAGCAGAAACAAGGAAGACTTCAAACCTAAAGAAAAACTTACATCCTGTTCAGCAGAAATACCTGCATTATCTAATTCTAACTTGAAGCCTTAGAGGTGGCAAGAGCTGAAACGAGGCAGACACCTGTAGAGACTGGATGTGACCTTAAATGAGCCCAAACATTGCGGAGAGTCTCTGTTTCTTTTTGCTGCTCATACCACGAGCCTGGGGTGCACAGTCTCCTAATTTGGGCAACTAATGCGGTGRCTTCACAGAAGTGGGGTGACCAAGTCAGATGCCTTCCATCTGGATGGGGACTGAGGCATGGCTGAAGTGCCCCGTCAAAAGGACAGCATCGTTATTYAACCAGAAAAATTAGCATGTGCTCAAAAATTTGGAAGCAAAAAGCTTCCAGTGATAATAAAGGTACTAAAGCAGCAGAATGGGGACCCTGTTCACTTGTAAGATGCAGCAGCTGGCTGGGGCCCTCCCTGACCTCCCAAAAAAAGGGAAAGAAGTCAAACATGCTGGGTTGACAGGTCCTGTCCTTCCACCCTCAACTCTGTCAGACTCTGCTGGAATGTATTCATTCCTCCTCCCTAGTCCCCCACCCCCAAAAATAAAGGCAACTGCACCAGCTCTTCACATAACACAACGACATAATAAAAGTAAAACTGCAGAAGCTGGGGGAAGGTCCTGCAGGATAACCCCCGTCCAGGTCATAAAGCACCTTTCGAACATGTTTTATGTATAGGATTTGCGCCCTTCCTCATGCCGGGGGCACGTCCCCGCTCCGAAGAGCGCTGCCCACCGCACCGCAGCCCCTCTCGGCTCCGCGCTGGGCGGCGCGGAGAGTCCCGGCCTCCGCCTCCCGTTAGATGGCGCTACAGACTTTGCAACCACGTGTATAGCGGCGAGGGGGAAAARAATAATAGTAATAAAAGAAATAACCCTCTTATTGTCCGAAACGCGGGGAGCCGGCCCCGCGGAGGGTCTGGGGGAAGCGGCGCCCGGCGGCAGGATGTCCCTTTCCCGCGGGGAGCGCCCGGCGTTGCCCTCAGCCCCGCGGCGGCTGTCGGGGCCTGGCCCTCGGGGGCCACAAGGGCAAAGTCGGGGGCAAACGGGCGAGCGAGGGCCCGGTGGAGCCGTCCTTCCTACCGGGAGAAGATCGTGTCAGGAACGGGGAGGAGGCGCCGGCCGGATCCCAACCGGGGAGCTGGGCGAAACCCACGGGCAGTCTCGTCCCTCCCTTGCTTTACTTCTCCATTCCAAAAAGCTGTTCATGCAATGCCCACAGCGTGCTTGGGCTCTGATGGCTGAGTGTTTAATCAGTCCYACTCCTTTCCCCGGACACTTTTTCTCTTGTTTAGAGGCCCGCGTTTCCCCTCGGTGTAGAACCCCGCAAGTTTCAGGGCAGCCGAGCAGTGGTTGCCRCGGGGGTCCGCCGGAGCGGGGCTGCCCTGGGTGTGTGGTTCTGCCCTTGGCCCATCCCGAGGAGGGATAGGACGGTGTATGAAACTGCTGGTCCTCAATTCACTGAGTCCGTGACCGACTCGTCACCGCTTCTCCGCCAGGTCCCCAGCCGAAAGGCGGCCGATGTCCCCAGCCCCGTCGCTGAGCGTGTTGGCGATCACCTTGAGAAGGGTTAGGGCTGTCCCGGCGCAAAGGCCGTCGCCGCACCCCCCTCCCGTGCTTGCCGTCGGGCTGTGAACTTTCCGGTGGGGTAAGTTCTCCTTTAAGAAAGCGAGCTGTTCCTTATGCATATTTAAGGCTGTTTGTCTGCAGTGCCCAGCTGACACGGGGCTGGAGGCTCACACGCGGGACCCGAGCTCTGGGGGAGTAAATCATCCCCACTTTAAACGCACCTTCTGCCAGGGCTCCAGTTGGGAGCGCCTTGCCATTGCTAAACACATGTAAGTCAGAAAGGCGGGGGGGTAGAGGGGGGGAGCTGGGGAGAAGGAAGGGGGAGACCGAGTCATTTAGGGAGATGAATAGGGTATTTTGATTTGATAATTTCCATCACCAACATCCCCCAGCCCCCCCCCCCCCAAAAAAAAAAAAAAAAAAAAGCAATAACTCTTGTCCTTCGGATTTTAAAAACAATTCTAAACATTTTATTACTATTATTATTACTTTTTTTTCTCCCAGCCTAGGGACTCCTGCCCCTCTCAGCATGCCTGGATCCCTMAGATCGGTGGGGTTTCGAGACTTCCTCCCTCCTTTTGCCCTGCACGAGAGTGCTTTGCTGGGTGCGCAAGTGTGCGTGCGAGGAGCGGAGAGGAGCGCCGGSAGGGTAAGTGAACCCCTTGCTTCAGCCGGGGGGGCTGGAGGAGACCTCTCACGTCACCCGCGGATCAGAGGGCTCCTCCGTCGCGCTGGGGGTGGGATCCCGAGCAGTCTCTTCAGCCTCAGAGAGCGGGGGGAGCCTTCCGGGGATGCGAGTGCCTTGGAAAAGCCCCCTCCACAGCTAGGCACCCTGCTACCTCTGTACGTGTGTGCGAAACGACGAAGTGTATGTGAAGGTCAGCCTGGTGAGCTTCCACTGAAACTCAAATGGGAAGGAGCAACTTTCAGTGCTCTGCTCTTAGTGGTTTCCTGCCTTTTAAAGTGAACTTGTTCGAGTGTGTTATTCAAAATGTGGTTCAGTAGTTACGCCTTCAAATTAAGTTGCTTCTAGGTCCTCATCGGGGAAAACAGACATGTGTCCTCAATTGTATAGTATATATATATAAAAAAATTATACTAGGTACTTTATGATTCCATCTGGAGAAATTAAAAGCCCAGAGCTGTAATGTTTATTCTTACATAGTTTACAAAAAAAGGGGGAAATGTGTGAGACACATGTCTCCAAATATAACCAAAGTGCTTTCCCTTCTGGTTAAAAAGTTGCATGCAAATGTTTTCATTTTAACACTCCCTGCCACCTGTACTTCTCAGGGAAACTTTTTTTTTGGCGTTGGTGATGAAGCACCAATAGTACTTATTAATGAATTAATTATTATTATGGCTGCTGAATTGGCTTAAAGTGCTTTGGAGGCGAAACTGATCCATGTTAATCAGTTACAATTAATTGTGTTTCAGCTGCTGTTTCAAACACAGTTTCAAAGAAGAAGGCGAGGAGGCTGTACTTGGAGTATAGGGAAGGGGGTGATCCAGAGATTGTTCCCATCCCATGGCCCCTTTCCTCTTGGTTTGCAGAAACCGGCATAATTTTGTCCCAGTATCCGCGTCAGGTCACACAAAGGTGCGAGGGGCAACTTAGGCGACGAACTCCTCTTTCTCTCACCAAAAGGTGCAAAGATTAAGAGTCTAGAACTTAGGAGCTCAGCCCCGGAGGGAGATTTCCCTCCCGCGTTTGCATTACGGGGAGGGCAGCGGGCGTGGGTTTTGCTGTGCGTCTCTGCTTGGCCGCTTTGGTCAGGRCTTTTGTGTTGGCGGCGGAGACAAGGAGGCAGAGGTGGGCAGAGAGGCCGAAGGGGTCCGCAGAGCCCTCTCGAGGGGGGGCGACTGCATCCCGCTTCCAGGAGGATCTGGGGAGAGGGAAACAGGGGAAGAGAAGTAAATAGCTCCCCGAGGGGGCAAGTGGCAGCTGGGCCGTATTCTGTGAATGCCAGGGAGGCCAGAGGGGCGGCCGCAGGGCCGAGGGCAGAAAAAGCCGGATCGCGCAGACAGGCAACAGAGACGCCAAGGGGAGGGTTAGGGTTATCCTCCGCTGCGCCGCTCCCCGGCCGCCCCACCGCCGGCGGGACCTGGGCGCTGGGAGTGCCGGGCTCAGCCGGGAAGGCTGGGGACGAGCAAGGCCAGGCAGAGGAGCTGAGAGAGCCAGGCAAAGCCAGGGAAAGCTCTCAGGGTCGACGTGCCGAGCCGAGGCCCGAGGGCCCCCGTTTGGCCAGCTGGTCGCAGGGCGGCCCGTGTGCCCAGCACGGCGGCTGCAGGGGAGCGGAGCGGGCACTGCCTCAGGTGGATCGGGCGATGGCTSAGTACACCCGGCCCTCACTCCCAGTGGGAGCTGGTGGTGGGGAGGGGCTGGAAACAAGCTTCCCCTCTTTTGCCAGGGATTTTCCACAATGATAGCGACCCCTCTTCACAAAAGTTAGGGGCGGGAGAGAGGGAGAACTGGCGGTTCTCCCCGGGCTGGACGCCTCACCCTTGTCTTGCCTGTCCCTTGGCCTCCGGCCGTCCCGGGGAGGTCAGCCCGTCCCGGGARGCACTAGGCATCATCAAGTATTGTTTGTGCTTAAAGATTTACACTTCGCAAAAGTAAAACTCTCCCCCCCCCGCCCTACCCTTCAATGTGACTTTTTTTTTAATGCCAGTCCACAGAAAGGCAATTGGAAAACTTTATTCCCTCCCATCCTCTCTGGAATTGGGTTGCTGGGATTTTTTTTGCGGTTTGATTTTTTTTTCTCCTTCTCTCACTCCAGCTCTTTCGCAGAGACTCTCCCCCCCTTTTTCCTCTCTCTCTTTTTTTTTTTTTTTTTTTTTTTTTTTTAATTCCCCTTCATCCCATTGACTCTGCTCAGAGTCTCTTGCTTAAGATGAACAAGGAAAAAAACCAAACCACCCTATCCCGTATGTGCAAACGACCTTTCTTGGAGAGAAGTAAAGCAAACAAAAGACCTTTTACCTGCAATAGAAGATAGTGTACAAAATTATCTACCCCACAGCCCCCYGGTTCTATATCGAATACAGCTGTAATTAATTGAAAATTGAGGGAAGAGATACATTTTCCACATGTGAACGTAATAGCTAAGGTTGGTCGGGGAGACAGAACACCTAGTTCCTGCTTGTCAGGCGTGGAATCGTTTTCCCCAGACGGGACGGGTGGTGGTGCAGGTCTCGCAGAGGTGCAGTATACATATCTTCGGCTCTTGTATATCACAAAAGCAGGCTGCGTTGGATGAAACACTAGTATTAACCAACTTTCTCCCTCTCTCTCCCTAGTTTTATTTATTTTCCTTGGATGAGGGACCTAGGTGGTCAAAACCAAACAAAAGCACTTGCGTTTGTGTCAGCACTTTGTCGTCGGGGCAGCACCCGCATTAGATTATTGCCGGGGATTTATTTGCATGCAGCTGCAAACCCACAACCCGGCTGCTGACCGCTGAGCATAAAGGGCTGCCGGGGCCGGCCCCTGCCCGGCCGCCGCGGTTCCCGGTGGGAACACGGCCCGGGGGCCGGGGGTGGGGGGAGGATTTGGGAGTGGGTTTGCTCCCGACAGGGCCCGGGGGGATGGTCACAGAGCCGGCAGCAGCAGGGTCCCCAGCGCAGCCAGAGGCTGCAGGTGCGGGGGATGGGGGGGAGGCGGGGGCGGCGCCGGCCSGCAGCCCCCCCTCCCCGCCACCCGGCTCGCCCCCAAAGGCAGCCGCAGCTCCCACTGGCCTTGCTCACAAGCACATCCGAGAAAAGCTTTCCCTAATGCCTATGTCCCGGGGAAAAATAAAAGGACCGGTGGCAGATCCTCGAGATCTCTCAGAGCTATTTTCAGTGCTTTGAAATTTGCAGTAATGTTGATGTTCTTTTTCCCTCCTCTTCTCCCCTCTCTTCGGCCCAGTAGCGTTTGGCAGCGTTTGACGAGGCAGCTATTAACCTTTGAAGCAAGGGCTTTAGGTTCAAACTACCTCCTTCACTACTCTCTGTATGCCTTTCCCCTCCCCGCACAGAGACACGATGCGAGGATGGATTTGGCTGCATGGGATCGATGTAACTGTCTCCTTAGGTCTCCCTCTACCTCGGGCTACGCTACCAGGTCTCCCTCATCTTCTCCCAGAGAGCCCAGTGAAAGCTCAAGGTTCCCGGGGCTTGAACTGGCTCCCCTCCGAGCGCAGCGGGAGCAAAACCTTCCTCCGAAGCGGGGCTGGCTTGGGGACGAGCCCCACGGCAGCGCTGCCGTGGTCTGGGCCGTCTCTCCCTTCGTGTGGGGAAGTAGGGGGTCTAACCATCCATCCGCAAACTTMGGGGGACTTCTGCCAGTCCCTCTGTCCCGATGGCCAGCATAAGACTGTAGGAGAACGGGGAGAAAAACTGAGTTCGGTGAACTTCATTATTTGGCAGAGGAAAGAGATGTTCCCTCTCCATGCAGGCTCCTTCGACTGGGCGTGAGCAGGGGAGGCTGCTCCGGGCTTTTCTGCCAAACACGGGGGGCTGCGGGGCAGGAGCTCTTGGGCAGGGAGGGCAAGCCCGGCCGGGTGGAGAACCGCCCCGGGAGGGCGAAGCTGGAAGGACAATGGGGATACACACAGACACACAGAGGGTCACGTTCGCCCCTCGTGTCCCCACAGCGGTGCGTGGAGGTGTCGCGCTGCCCCTTGGCCAGGCCGCACCACCGCAGGGAGGGGATCCCTTCATGCTGCCGGGCCGGGGGCGGGCACGGCCGGGGCGGCCGGAGGGCAGCGCACCCCACCGGGCCGCCCCGTCTAATACCGAGCTCCCCGAGTTCGGCCCTGTGGCGGGAGAGATCCGGCCGTGCTCCGCGGGCACAGGAGGGGGTTTCTCCAATTCCACGGCCCCAGGAAACTGGGGAATAGGARGCTGGAATGCTTGCGCTAATTGGGATGCGCCCGTGGGCTACAGCGGGCAGCGCTAGTGGGGAGCGGGTCAGTAACACGAGTGGCCAGGAAAAGCGCGGGGAAAGGTAGGAAAGGATGAAACCATTCGCAGACTCCTCGCGGAGCAGGGGTGTATTGTCATCTTTGTTTTGGTTGTGTTGTTTTGTTTTCCAGGAGATTGGGACAATAGCTGGAGCGGATTATTCATTCCCGTAGGCAATACTTCCCTGTATGGGCTTCAGGATGCAGTTGGGAGCTTGGGAACAAAGCGGGCATCGAATGTCAAGGTAACTGGTCCCCTTCCTTTGTTTATGCTATTGTTAATGACGGGGCTCACTCAGCCCTGGCCTCAGCCGTGCTGTATGGCATTAATATTGACTTGAGAGAATAGGCAGGGCAATTAGAACCCAGACCCAGAACAACAGCAGCACCCAGCCTAAGCCCAGTTCTTCAGGTAAAACATGACTTTTCTGGGCTCATGAGAGTGGTATAGAGGTCTTGCCTGGTATTCACAGAAACACACACACCGTTCATAAAATTATACACATCCCTGTACAGCATTAACACGCAGGGGAGACACCGTAACCCTGTCCTTCAGTAAAAAAATCAAAAGGGAAAGAGCATTATTTTCAAATACCCACTATATTAGCATGAGGGAATTCTCATCATGATAAAAAAAAAATTTAAAAACTAACAAAATCATTATTGTAATTAGGATAATCTAAAAGTAGCAGAAACCGGAGCATTTATTGACTAATTTTCTTCTTCTCAAGGTAGCGGATGGTATTTAAAGTTCAACATTTCACACAGCTCCTTGTTTAGTTTAATTTCCTCGACAACCTAGGCAATTTCAGCAAACTGAGTTAAAAATTTTGGTACACATCTGAATATRGACCTGCATAAAATAGAGAAGGCGAGAGAACTGGGGAGAGGATATTTTATTATTTTAAGTAGAGAAGGAAGTGTATGTTTGCATGTATGTGTGGATGTATGTTTGCATATATGTGAGAAACAGTGAGAAACAAATGGAGAGTTTTGCATGTTGCACTTAATCTGTAGCTTTAGTGTGGCTTCTGAAACAAATATCTATTAGATTTCTCTAAAAAATGTCCCACTCGGGCAGACAGACCCCTGTTTTGAATGAGAGCTCCAGGAGATGAAAGAAATATAAATCAATCCAGAACAATTCTTTGTCAACTCTTTTCTTTTTTTTTTTTTTTTTTTTTTTTTTTTTTTTTTTTTAAAGAAAGATTAATTTCATCTCTGCCATCCTGGGCCCATTTTCTGTCAGTGAAGGAATATAATAATGATCAATGCCCAGCACTTCTCATATCTTTTGTACTTGGTAAATATTTGTAATGTTTTGAATGTGGAGGGGAAATGAAGAGTTGAGCCCAATCTCAGCTTCAGAGGATCCTCATGAGCACTTGCACAGAGGGAGAAGAAATCGAAACAACCAAACCAACCTGTTTAGAAGATCCTCCAGCCCAAAACTCTACAGTCATGCACTTACTTTTCGTATTTTATCTGCCTGCTTAGTGAAATGATCTACATGSATCAGGCTACCTGGATTTATGTGATCAGCTCAGTTGAAAATGGAGCCTGGAGATRTTGAGCAAACAGTTCTGCTTGACTGTAGTGTGGACTGAATGCTGTATAGTCAGCTGTATAGAGCGGTGGCAGGCAAGGAGCACCAAGTATTTCCAAAACTAATAACAAAGAGGTTACTATATATAAAATGTTTATACAGCCCACATTCTCTCAAGTTGTTTAAATTTTGGTTTGATGCATATAAATATAGCAGACATACCCGGTTCCCCATGAGCTAGTCCCTGCTTTTTAAAATCAATTAATTTCAGTTTGAAAGAATGGCCCCATACTCAAGACAGTCAGCATCCCTTTGACTTTCTCCATTCAGTGTGGACCTCAGGAAGAAATAGCATCTGTCTTTGTCATTTCACATGCGTATCGCAGTGCCTTGACACTGTTTTTTAAGAGCAGGCCTACTACCAGGGAGGGTAACAATCCCCAGCTGGTTCCCCCTTTCTAATCCATTTCCCCCCATCTCATCTTAGGCTCCTTTTGAGGAAGCAGTGGTTCTGCTGGAACCCCATGCCTGGACTTTGGAGGGCATGGTGCAGTGGCCTGAAAGCACTGTCCCTGCAGGTGGAAACCATGCTCAGTATCATGCGCCTTGCAAGAAACACAGCGAGGGGACACTTGGAGTAACCCAGCATCTGGCATCGGGCACAGCACTCCACTTCCACACTACTGCGAGGGAAAGTTTRCTCCCAAACCACATACTTTGTGGTGTTCAGTGCTTGTGTCAAACTGGTTTGAGCTGTCCCAAGTCTAAAATAAAGATCTCCATTGTGGTATGCCAGTGAGCTTGTCTTGCTAAACCTTCCCCATTTATGCTGAAAGTACAGAGCTGATGTAATGCTGTCTTTTCACCCACGGATGGGTGCAATAGGAACAATTCAGAAAAGTTCTRTTTAGCTTTTTTTCCCCTTGTAGTTGAAGAAAAGCAAGCTATCAGAAACAAGCCTATGTTTGAAGGTACAGTTTGCAACATGTGAGYGGGAAACATATGTACTGGCACTATTCAACAGCTCTGTAAGGGCTGTGCTCAAATTTTGGCTTTTAATCTCAACTCTGTTAGAGAGAGATGCAAAATGGAATGGAACCTGATTATTTATGCTATAGCCTTGTGATGCTCATCCTATAACTGTTGGGGAGAGAAGCAAAACACTCTGCTAAAGCTTAGGGTGAGCCTGAGTTTCAGGGGGACTCTAGTCTTCACAGGTTCTCACTTCACTGCCTTCCTTCCCTTAGTATTTGTTATATGTTTCTTTTTTTTTATTATTTTTTGTCTGCTGTTCTATGTTTTAAAGTGTGTACAGACTCAACCCCGCTGAGTGAGAGAGCCTCCTTCATCACAAGATCACGTTTGGAAAATGCCTACCCCCTTCAACTGCCCCCTTCAAGTCATAGTTCCCCTTTCAGGGGAGAAAATAAAACCTTAAAAGAGAATGAGAGAAGCAGGGGTGGAGGGAAGGGGGAGAACCCCTGATTCCTCAGTGACCTGCACAGCTCGGACAGACCTCCAAGATCCACTTCGCCTCCTGCAGAAAAGCCCTGTTGGAGGAAAAAAAAMCCCCATATGCTTGAACTTTTAACGTGGCTTGGGGTTTATACAATTCAGGCTCAATTTTAACAAATCTGGGGGG